TTATTATATTATAATAATATTTATTTTATAAAAATTATTAAAATTTTTAATAAATTTTAATTAAATACCTAGTGAATCTTTAAAATCTTTTATAAATCTTTAATAAATTTAAAATAGATACCCAATATATCTTTAAAATCTCCAAAAAAAAAAATCCTTAAAATACCCATAAAATCTCAAATCAATACATAATGAGCTTCTTCAAAAAATTTATTGATAAAGTTAAGGTGAGATAAGCTCTAATTATAATCAACTTAAAAAAAAAAGATTCTAATCCAAATTCAATTATCTCTATTTTGTGACTTCAATCAAAATCCAAATTTAATTATATTCCAATATTCATATAACAATTGATATGCAATTATATTTAAATTATTTATTTTATTATACTATAAAAATTACTAAAATTCTATCTCTTATATTTGGGCAAGAATGGCTAAGAAATGTAAAAGGTAATGTAAAGGTGAAATGGAAAAAAAAAAAAAATTAATGGAATGATGTAGAAAAAATTACTTCATGCATGATGAACAATGAATTCATAGCTCAAAACTTATAGAATTTATGTGTTTTAAGATAGTCCTCACTAAATAACATATAGTCAATAGGTAAATATAGTTTTACTAAAATGACAATTAGATAATAATCTTTTGATTATGTGGAAATTAAGAGTAATTAAAATGGTCGTATTGTCGACTATAAAAGGAGATAGGAGTGTCATATCAATGAAATAAAAAGTAAATATTCTATTATACATAAACCTTTTATTTTATTAAGTATATATAAAGTTAATAATATTCATTTAAAATAATTATTTAAAATTAATAGTATATTTTTTTTATCTTGATTGCGCAATAGGAAACAATCATCTTTCATTTCTCATTTTTTATTTCCATCCTTTATTCCACTCTACCCACATAACTTGAATTTAAGATTTATTATTTCTAGTGAAAAAATATAACTATTAAATTATTTAGACAATTAATAAAATTAATAGTATTATGATTAACAATTTACTATAAAAAAATTATTGCCAGTGAATCGCACGCGTAGCTAGATTTGAGAGCTAGTGACACGTGTAATTGTTAAATGGACTTAAAATTTCCTAATCCTACAACTAATTTGAAGTTTAACAAAGGGAAGAAGTTTCACGCATTAAATACCAATCCTATCGGAAAATGAATTGTGCTTTCAGTCGTGGGTTCCAGCACCTCCTTAGTTGCTGCCCATTTTGCATTTTCCCTTGAAAGACTTCCATTCACTCCTTAATTCAAGTCATTGTTCTCACTATTAGAATTCATAATTTCACCAACGAAAAATCATGTCGGAAAGAAAGGTAACGAGGTCGGTAAAACAGGGTTCCAACTTGGATCATGTCGGAAATGACTTTGTCGGTGAAAGTAGGTTAGGTAATTCCTTTATCGATGTGGATTAAAGTCATGTCGATAAACTGACTCCCAATTACCAACAAGAAACCTCTCTCAAACATTAGGCCAGAACAATAATAGTGAATATCTTTTTTGGTAATCCATGTTAGTAATTTATCGACAAAGTTCATGTCTGCAACTACTGGAGGTGCCTTAAAGTCTGAGCTATGCTAGTGATTCATTGAGGAGAATGCTGTCTGAGATTTAAAAAATCATCGACAAGATTTGGGTCAACAATTTTAGGCGTTGTTAGGAATCAAGATGACCCCACGTACCACATCAAGAGATTCATTACACATTCTAGGAGGTCCAGTCACGAGAGCTAGAGTTAAGAAGATGTGAAAAGCTTTAAATGAACTTATTGAGTAGATCTAGGTTGATAACAACATGCAACAAGTAAATCGAAATTTGGATGATTATTATGGCATGGTAACATCATTCAGATTCAAGAGAAGCTTTATTGAGGTCATTTATGTTGAATTACATAGTTTGTGTCAAAATCACACAATTCTGTCGCAATTGGTAGCAAACTAATATTTCATAATATTTTAGGTTATTTTGAGTGATTTTCACGTTTTTTGTATTATTTTTGGGCTAAACAATCATTTATTTGAAGCCCAATTGTGGTTATTAGGTTTAGGCCTTAGGGTGTTAGTTTCCTACTCTGATTAGGATGCCCACTCTCATTTCTCACATCACTCTCTTTTTTTACTCTTAGTTGATTCTCATAAACCTGCCTTGGACTCAATGGTGCAAGAGTAATTGTTTTCCCTTCCATGACAAATGAATAGCAATTTTTGAAGCTATCATGTGTTGCCCTCCTATCATATTGTCATGGTCTTTCTAAAAGTAAATGTCCAGCATGCATAGGAACCATGTCACAAAGTACCTCATCCTTATATTGTCCAATAGAGAATGAATGATGGGAATCAAGATGACCCCACATATACCACGTCAAGAGATCGATTACACATTCCAGGAGGTCCAGTCATGAAAGCCAAAGCTATGAAGATACGAAAAACTTTAAATGGTCTTATTGAGTAGATCTAGGTTGATAACAACATGCAACAAGTAAATCGAAGCTTGGATGATTATCATGGCATGGCAAACATCATTTAGTTTCAAGACAAGCTTTATTGAGATCATTCAAGTTGAATTACACAGTTTGCGTCAAATCACACAATTCTGCCGCAATTTGTAGCAAACTGATATTTCATGTTATTTTAGGTTATTTTGAGTGACTTTTACATTTTTTGTATTATTTTTGGGCTGAATAGTCATTTATTTGAAGCATCGAAAACACTTGATGTCTTAGTTTCTACCTTGCGTATTATCTATTTTACTCTTCTCATTGCTGCCAACTTCTTTTAACTTAGATACTGCAGTTTTAGGCTTAAAAGCATAATTTTCTTTTTTTTTTGCTCCAATTTAGTTTCCAAGAAGATGAGGAACCTGAATTTTGCCCAATTTTGGTGTTGGCTCCTTTATGCTTGAGTTGTCATTCTACTTTCATCGCCATATGCACCATATCTTCTAATTCCACATAATATTGTAACTCCACCACATTAGCTATATCACGATTTAAGCCATGTAGAAACCTTGCCATAGTTGCTTCTCTGTCCTCTTCCACATTCGCTCTAACCATTGTGATTTCCATCTCTTTGTGATCATCCTCAATGCTTTTGGACCCTTGAGTAAGGCCTCCCAATCGTTGATAGAGATCACTATAGTAGTGACTAGGAACAAATTGTTTTCTCATCACAGCTTTCATCTTTTCCCAAGTGTCAACAGGACACTTTCGATTTCTATGTCGACTAAGCAAAAGTTGATCCCACCACACCACATCATAATCAATAAATTCCACCGTTGCTAGTTTCACCTTTTTCTCCTCAGAATAGTTATGGCAATCAAACACCAATTCCACCTTTTTTTTCCCACTCCACATACACATCTGGATCATTTTTGCCTTGAAACGGAGGAATCTTCATCTTGATGCTTTCTTAAGTCACGATCTTGCCGATCTCCCCACCTCATTAGATTTTGCTCTCTTGGTTAAACTTACTTTTTTGACCCCCTCTACCTCTCATAAATTTGTCCATGCTGAAATTTGAGTTTTGGGCATCATTGTTGAATGCATCTTCATAATCGTCATTGAGATCATCATTAGCATCATTCCTATGCAAATTCAGACTTCCATTATGTATTTGATATAAATTGGCTAGAGCTGCATCGTGCTTCTCCATTTTGTCTCTAATCTCACCAAACATGATGTCCAACCTCTGAAATTGTTGTTGCATTGCTTTGAGCATGAGAGATTCATCCACATGGTGTCCTTTAGTGGTTGATTTGTCATCACCGCTTGGCATGATTGAAACTTGCAACGAATGTTAGAAACAAAAGAATAAAAGGACCTCACAACACTCCCTTACGTGTTTCACTCCACTCTTTCATAGAATGGCACTCAACACTCATGTTTTGCACACTGTAGAACTTGGCTCTTCTCTCAAGTGTTACTCACACCTCTTGCCTTTTTCCCTCACTCAACTTTCCTCTTTCAGTTCGTTATTGAACTAAACAAGCTCAATTCAAGTTATTTTGTAGCATTCTAACTCCAACAAATCTACAACAAGAGTTAAAGGAAACAGAGAGATACAAAGGAACGAACAAGAAAAGCAATAAAAGAACTTACCTTTGGTTTTTGTTGCAACGTAAACAACGGGTCAAGGTCCTATTAGAAACCTGAATTGGCTTTTCTAGAGTTTAGACATCTGTTGTCGTGTTGTGGGTCTCATTGTTCTCTTTGGGGTTCTCATCAGGCGCCATTTCTCTTTTCTACTACTTACCGACGAGGATAACGTTGGTAAATAAATCTGCAAAAATAAAAAAAAGGGTTTCTTGAATTAATATTGAACTTAATATATATATTTTATTTAATTCAATTAATTTACGTTAAATATTAAGCAATTCGTAATATTTAATATCATGAAAAATAAATATAATATGAAAAATTTACAATACAAATAGAAAATTGTTGTATTTATTTATTTAAATTAATGATTAAAACATATTTAAAAAATAAGAATAATATGACAAACTTAAAATATAACTAGATAACCCAAAAAAATAAAGATTACCTCAATAGGTGAATATTTCCATAACACCGTTTTCTAAAAAAATAAAAAAACATAAATTAGGTTAGTATTTATTTATAATTTCAACCCAGATGGCTCTAATCAACATATAAATGAAATTGAATGTTAATCTGCATAAATAAAATTTACTTACCCAATGATTATCTCTTAATGTTTCTTGGAAAACAAAATTAAGAAAAGTTAAAATTGCAAATAAATTAATTAATAACACAAATTAGTATTTAATCAAATAGGAAGAAACAATGGAAGAGAAAAAGAGAGGCGATTGAGAAGATATAAACCTAAATTATATGAATATAATGTAATTATAAACATAAACAATTAATTTAGCAGCATTGAGTGGAAGAGAAAGAGGAGGCACAGATAAGGGAGGAGAAGAAAAAAGAAGAAGAAGAAGGAAGGTAAGAAGAAATGAGCCAAGTAGAGTGCTAGGGTGAAGAATATATAGACCAATTTACCCATGTATGCTTTGTCGATATTCATTTTACCAACAAAGATCACATAGGTACTTTACCTCAAGACGGGAATAAAAAAAACCAAAAATTTTGCAATCCCCACCCAAATTACTGACCAACTTCATGTTGGTATATGAAGACCATTTTACCGACTAAAATCATGTTGGAAATTGGAAGTTGCCGACAAGATGCATGTGGGAAATTGAGATTTACTGACGTGTAGCTTATTGGTAAGCCTCCACAACTTCCTTTCTAGATTTCGTCCATTTTTATGCCATTTTTCGAATTTATCCAACAAATTTCTTACATTTTCATTATTTTAGTGGACATAAATTTTAAAAAAATTTGACAAAATTCCCTTGTATATATGATAGAAGCTATTTTTTTTTTAATTTGCATTTGCAATTCTATAACTTTGTTATGAAAAATGCAATAATTTAAAATTTATTCAATAGATTTTTTGCAATTTGGTCATTTTAATTGGCATAAATATTAAAATTTTGTCATTAATTGTTAAAATTTCACTAAAAATTTATCAAAACATTATTCATAACTATTCATCAAATTTAGCTAAAACAGAAAATCTAACAATATTAACTAATATCCAATGAACTAACTAATGACAATATTTGATAGTTTAAATTTCAGAAAAAAAAATAAAACATATATAAAATATATAAAAAATAATAATATTACTTAAGTTTCACTAACCACTACTTGATCCACCACATTGTAAGAAGAAAAATGTTAAAGTGATTCAAAGGAAAGAATGGAGGAAAGGAGAGCAAGAACTACTTGTTGCTAGAAGAGGAAAACGAAAATGAAAG